ACAAGTACCATCTTTTAACGTCTTTTGGTAAGACGCGGCCGGGAATTGAACCCCGGACCTTCCGCTCTCCGGGCGGACGCTCTACCACTAGACCACGGATGCGGTCGGGAAAATCATTAACTGTAGACAGTACAACGGTAAGTGGTGTCAAGAAAAGAAGTATTCTATAAGTGAATGAGTTTGACGAGTTATAACGTCAACGCCAGAATGTAACCAGTCCCAATTATCCGACGGGAGTAAAAGGCGAAATAAAGACTGGATCATTAAAAATCAGTGATGAAACCAGGTGTTCGCAGCTTTGAACATACTCCCGTCATATGACGATACGGCAGCATTTTGCTAGAGGGAAGCACATGCTTTGTTGAAATCAACGAACACGTGTATTGTGCTGACACACAGGGGTAAGAGATGTTACTCCGCACAACGAACTAGACAGTCTTTCATGTTGCCGTTATTGAAGTTTAAATGGTCTCTTACTGGATTCACCCGGGTTCGACTCCCGACATGGGTACAATGTGTGAAGCCCATTTCTGGTGTCCCCCGCCGTGATATTGCTTGAATATTGCTAAAAAGCGGCGTAAAATCACATCACTCACTCACTCTTACTGTATTAATATTGCTATCAGTCTCAAATATTGTAAGTGGGTAGCTACATGACAGTCACATTCCAGTGTAGAATATGTCCCTAGTACAACAAGTTAGTCGAAGCAGCCGACTAATGAGTAAAAGAGTGAATGACGTTTAATACCGCAGGCACAAATATTCCGACTGTATCACGACGCCCTGTAAAGATTCGTGCCCGGACCTGTCAAACAACTGACTGAAGGCGTGAACAAGTATCTGCGCCACCCGAACCCGGTGACATGCAGACCGCCAAGTCACCGAACCTGACCACCTGAGTGAGTGAGTGTAGCCACTAGGCTACCCGACCGCCCCCTGACCACCCGAACCACCGTAGTCGGATTATGATATCAATAGTTTACATGGGATGATGATTCGAGGTGTGTCCTGGTTGATCACGCGGATATGATGCTGCAAGTGAGTGAGTTTAACGCCTCTTTTAACAGTATTCCAGTTATATCACGGCGTGTCAGCTTAATGTGGGAGGAAAGCCCGAAGTGATGCAGGTCTCAGACGTTTACCACTTTGGTGAAACCCACGAGCACGGGTATGGTGCTGATAAACCTAGAATCATAATCGGGGCGAACCGGGATTCGAACACACAATCATAGATTTCTGGCGTGCCCAAGGGACGCAACTCTGCACAGCGAATCGCGGCGCCTTAGATGAGTGGGCCCCCCGTGCCCCCCGATGCTGTATAACCCAGAACCATAATCAGGATGATTGTAGGATTCGAACCCAGGGTCCAAGGACGCATCCCATTGCTATATTCATAGAAGGTATGACTATCTCATACTTCACATATTATATCTTACTTTCATCGCCATACTAACAAATCAAACAATTGCCATGTTGATAGAAGGTATGACTATTTTAAAATTCACATATATCTAACTTACATCGCCACGCTAACAAATCGAACCATTGCTATGTTGATAGAAGGTATGACTATTTTATACTTCACATATATCTAACTCACATCGCCACACTCACAAATTAAACCATTGATATGTTGATGGAAGGTATGACTATTGTATACTTCACACATATCTAACTCACATCGCCACACTAATAATTTAAACCAATAATATTTTGATGGAAGCTATGACTATTTAACACTTCATATATATCTAACTTACATCGCCGCTCTAACAAATTAAACCATTGCTATGTTGATGGAAGGTATGACTATTTTATACTTCACATATATCCAACTCACATCGCCACAGTAACAAATTAAACCATTGCCATGTTGATGGAAGGTATGACTATTTTATACTTCACATATATCTAACTCACTTGGCATCCGGCGGCTGACAGTACATGTATTTCTAATCATGTGTTGTTTATTGGATCCGCATTGCCGTCAAGTTCAAGCATTAATGTAGAATCCCCGTTAAATATGGGCTTCGTTGTATGGTATTGTTGACAAAAGGTATGAGTCCCAAAATGAACATAAATTCATGAAAGGTTATTTTGTGTGATGCTGATCAAATGATTGATTATTCTCTGAGGGTTGAGTGCCTGTTACAACACATTCATGCTGTAAGAAGGCCAAATCTTACAACCTGTCCCAAACGTGGATTCCGAGTGCTTTGCCAGTTGACAGAACGCTTTCTGGGATATAGAGATTACTACACGAGTTCCTGTCAGATATCCTTGTTCTTACAACGAGATGTTGCAAAACGTATCTAATTACACGGTCCTGTGGTTCAACACGTAGGTGAACATTCGACTGAAGTACGATCAACTTATCAATGACTTACAATCAGAAAAGTAGTCCGTCATTATCTGACCTCAGGTCATCACCATGGAGTAGCCAATTACAGGCCGTCGTCTTTCATCTCGCCGGTGAAGAAGAAATCGTGATTCATCGCTAAACGACACCAGTTTCTCCAATTCCAAGGCTGTAAGGTATGGCACCAACGCAAGCGTCGCTGTCGATGGATCTGTTGCAAAACAGGCACGATAACTGGTCCTCTGGGTCGGATTCCAACCTCGTGAAGATGGTTCCTGACAGTCTGGTCCGTTATCCTCCTCGAACCAGGGATGCAGTCTCAGTAGCTGTGACATTGCGATGACGTAGGTGGAACAGTCGGATGTAACGATTCTGTGCAGGGGTGGTAACTCTTGGTCGGCCGGTTCTCGGCCGGTTCACTGACGACCTGCAGCGGAACTGCACTATGTGTATCCGTAACAAATAGTGCTGTGGTGAACGTTGAAGTGGCCTGCCACAGAAGACTGTGATTCCCCTCTTTGGATACGTCCTATGGCGATGTTCCGATCGGCAGCGCTGAGTCTCGGCATTTTCGAACATGAAAAATGTTGATAATTGAATGACAAATTATTGGCTTATGCTTGCCTTTTTATAGCCACTACCACGAGTTACGAATGCTATAACTTGCACGTGCATTTTGCTTTACTGTTTTCCTCCATGACATCTTTGAGCAAGTGTGAAAACGATGCCGTTTTCGACATTGCAAATCGACAATGGCTGTGTTTTTACGCACCTTTTGTCGAATATTAGGGCACGATCATTTCCCAATAACATATAACCAATTTATCCAAACTACATACTACCTGTGCGTTTCTTTTTTTGAAGAGTATATGCTAGTAATTGACTGTAAACTTATCTAATCACTTATAAGACTCTGGGCCTGACTAATAAACTCACTGTTCATGATCAGTCACTCAGGTCTCGTGTTAATGTGTGGGTTGGCGTGTGCAGCGTTACGTCTGTGAGGCGGCTTGATCCCCCCAACTGGCGCGTTAGTGAGTGAGTGAGTGAGTGAGTGAGTATGGTTTTACGCCGCTTTTAGCAATATTCCAGCAATATCACGGCGGGGGACACCAGAAATGGGCTTCACACATTGTACCCATGTCGGGAATCGAACCCGGGTCTTCGGCGTGACGAGCGAACGCTTTAACCACTAGGCTACCCGACCGCCCCTGGCGCGTTAGTAATATTACGAGTTACTGTATATGTATATGTGTGTATGTATATATATTAATAATTAAAATTAAAATTAAAAAATTAAAATTAAAAAATTAAAACTGTGTTCAATCTTACTCCATCTATCTATCTATCTATCTATCTATCTATCTATCTATCTATCTATCTATCTATCTATCTATCTATCTATCTATCTATCTATCTATCTATCTATCTATATGTATGTACTGTAGGGAACAGCTCACTACGCTCTCAAAAGTAACGCCGTCCAATTCAACGTCATCAAGTTGCAAGTGTATGTTCGAATCTCATGAAATGATGTCATCATAGAACAACGTTGGCCATGTTCTTCATTGTTCTTTGCGATTAATGGCGCTTTATACTGTAAGTGATGCTTTTTTGTTTGCACGCGTATATGCTATGTAGAGACAACGAACTTGTGCAAAATAAAGTAAAGGTAACAGGACAAGAGGGATGACATATACGTACAATTTTAATCAAGAACACATAGAAGGCTACAGGCTGAAGAACATTAATCCAACGCATGTTTCCTATACACCTCTTTTCTTGACAATCTAAAACACACGTTTACTATACACCTGTTTACTGGACATTTCCAGACACATGTTTACTATACACCTATTTTCTGGACATTTCCAGACACGCGTTTACTATACACCTATTTTCTGGACAATTCCAAACACATCTTTCCTTTACACCTCTTGTCTGGACAATCGCACACATACACGTATGTTTCTTGTACACCTCTTGTCTTGACAACCCCAAACATGTTTCCTGTACACGTCTTGTTTTGGCAATCCCACACAAATGTCTTCTATGATTTGACATATCACATAGACACGAGGGTATAGATATATATTTATATGGTAAGAAGGTGAACATAAATCCAAGCACTTAAAGATAGCCATTGAGACATGCTGAAATCCTGAAGTACCTACAGTAACACATGGCCTAAATACGTGACATTCAAATTCACTTTATGCACACGTGGGGAGTGCAATATTTGTTTTATTACAAAAAGAGATGGTACGTAAGTGCGGCTGACAACTTGCAGCTAGTGAGAGGCCACCTTTTTCCATAATACTCCTGACCGCCTCCGCGGTTTAGTGGTAGAGCATCAAACAGGAGAGCGAAAGGATCGAGGGTCAATCTCCTGCCGCGTGACACCAAAAGACGTTTAAAGATGGTAGTTATTATTGCCTTGCTAAAACAAGGACTAAAACAAGGTTCGGAATCAGTATACTGTGTCTCATTGGAGTATTCATGTTAAACCGCGGCATGGTATCAGAGTGGGCTAGCACTATAAAACCGGACTAGAACAAGCAGCGACACACACACACACACACACACACACACACACACACACACACACACACACACACACACACACACACACACACACACACACACGTCGCTTTTTTGGTGTATTAATCGTGAACGCGACGTTAAACCCAAATTTACATCACCTCAATCATAATGTTCCTACAAGTTCCAGCCTCATGTTTCAATTTTATGTAACATAGGGTAACCGGGGCAAGGTTTCTATTTAACTCAACTTTTAGTTCACAGTTCCGAACTTTAAAAGAACAAGACTATGTTTTAACAAGTGTGTTTTAACTCATTTGGAATACAACATATACGAAAGGTTCATATGATATTGATTTTGAATCAGTTAAGAATTTATTAATAAATAATTTATTTCGGAACTTTTACTCAACCAAAACTAATTGTTCGCTGGGAAGGATGGATGTCTGAAAGATTTATATATAAATGGTGTTGGTGTCCACCTTCCGAAAAACATTTTTACCAAAATCAACAAAAATATTATGTCTATACCAAATATCCCAGGTTATCTTCCCTTAAACAGAAGTTTTGAAAGCTCAATCCCTTGTGTGACTGTACACAGGTATCATATATTTTATACACAACATCTCAGTTCTTATGTATTTTTTGCAATAGCAAACAGTTTGATTTCACCATTAGTCTGAGCAACGACAGTTATGCCGGAGTCTCCGACAACTGCTACCTGAGGTTCACGCAGACCGTCCCGTCGGCTAAGCAGCTCCCCCTGGTGGATGCCATCACCGGAAATGACGTGTACCTTACTAGATGCCTTGTCGACGAGTAGTGTTCGACCTTGTGTGTCAGTTGTGACAGAAACGGGACCTTTCACTTCCTGCGCCTTGGATGGCTGATATGTGTAGAGTACATCCCCTGACATATTGATGCATGTCAGTACATCTCGGCCGGGACACAAAAGCAGAAGATCGCCGCTAGGGGACAATGTTAGGTCTAGTGGTATGCGATGAAACTTGGTTCTGTCTAATGATATGGTATTCAGGATTTCTCCATTACAAGAAATGACGTCGATGGAAAGTACATCAGGGGCAGATAACCCAACAGTGGCCAGAACCTGCTCAGAGGATGAGGCCAGACTGAAGTAGCTCTTCTGAGTCTTTATTTTGCCTGTCAGATGTAAAGTTCCTCCGATGGTGATGAACGCGAACTCCCTTGATTTAGGGAGAGTAACTACCGCTTCTGTCTGTGACACAAGTGCTATAGAGTGAGGACATTCACCGAGATCAGCCTCAGACACAAGCTTACCACGAGGTGTAAACTTCTTAAGGCGTTTGTTCCGGAAGTGGACGTCCATGACGACAACGTCTCCAGACCTGAGGAGGAGGATGCCCCTAATGTCTGTCCTAATTGTGTCACTCCTGGACCGTCCTGAGAAGGAGGATACCACCCGTGTCCGAGGTGTTCCCCTTGTTGAACCAGGAGTCTTCCTAGGTGAGGTTAACCCTTTGGATGGCGCGGTTGGTATTTGGGGAGGAGTGAGAGTCAACTTAGCTTCAGGTTTCATTTTAACTGACTGCTTACTTGCCTTTACGACTCTAACCTCTCCCAGTGAAGGCACAGATCGAAGTGATTCAATGCTCTTTCTGTCTTGAACATACTTCATTTGCATCGAGTCTCTGGTCTGATTGGCCACCGGTACCTGTTTGTTGAGGATCTGGATCTGTTTAGCGATGTTCTCGAAGTTGTTCAGGACATCCACCTCCGAGCCATACATCAAAAGTTGGTCGAGGAACCTTTCAGCCTTACGGAGAGAATTGATCCGGACGTCACCATTCAAAACGCGCTCGGAAATGTGATCTCGTTGTTTCTCATACATGAACTCCACCTCTGCAATTAATTTGTTCTGTTTCTCCAGAACAAGGCCCATCATCACCTCCACGTGGCGGGATATATCTTCCAAGACTGCATCGCGTGATTTTGTCAAACCTTCAAGATCTTCCTGGGAGATTTTCGAAAGGTTTTGGGCTGCCTGTCGATGAGATATAATGCTGTCCTTAGCAACCAAGATGTCTTTCTTCAGATCAATGGCAACTTTATCTGCTGTCTGTATCTGTTTACAACCAACATGTGTTACAGCTGTGCAGGTTTCACAGACAAATTTCTTACAATTTAAACAAACCATAGACAGAGGATTTCCCTTATGATCAGCACAGTCAAGTGGTCCTCGTTTTGGCCTCAAAAGCTTCTCAAGACCCCCGTTTTCCAGATACTCAATGCTAACTGTGTGATGGTCACGCGAGGCCTTGATCCGGCCATGTACGCGTTCGCACTCTTCACACAATGCTTCCAAACATTCCTTGCACCAACTGATTGCCTCGACAAGTACATGTTCCTGTTTGCATATGTCACATGATTTCTCACTCTGTCTCGTCTCCGAGATCTTTAACAGACTCACAATGAAATGGTTGGCCACGAACGTTTCCATCCACTGATCGACAGATAACCCAATGATCTCTGACTTCGTTTCTTGACCACAGAGTGGACACATGAACGTTCCTTTCACCATTGTTTGGCGGATGTAAAGCCCAAGGCAGGATCGGCAGAATGTGTGTAGACAGGGAAGGGTTCTGGGCTCTCGGAATTTCTCCACACATAATGTACATGTAAAAATGTCGTCCGCGAGCTGGCTCATGCTCGCCATGTTGAACTGTCTGTTCACAATTCAGGAAGGAAGCTCAGAAAGGAGGTATATCAAGAACGGGGATCTAGGATGCTGAGCAAAGGGGACAGCTCAAGGGGTTTGAGCAAGCAGGCAGATCAAGAAGGTTAAGCAATGAGGTTGCGTAAAGAGGCTAGGCAAAGAGGCTGAGCAAAGAGGCAGATCAAGAATGTTGATCAAGAAGCTTGTGCCAGGAAGCTGAAGAATGACGCTGATCCAGTAGGCAGACAATGAAGGGGATCAAGGAGGCTATGATGGTAGGCGGAACAAGTAGGAAGACACAGAAGGGGGATCAGGAGGTTGATGAAGTAGGCAGATCAAGAAGGAGATCTAAGAGGCTGGGGTGTTAGGTGGAGGAAGTTAGGCAGATCAAGAAGGAGATGTAAGAGGCTGGGGTGTTAAGGGGAACAAGTAGGCATACACAGAAGGGGGATCAGGAGGTTGATGAAGTAGGCAGATCAAGAAGGAGATGTAAGAGGCTGGGGTGTTAGGTGGAGGAAGTTAGGCAGATCAAGAAGGAGATCTAAGAGGCTGGGGTGTTAGGTTGAGGAAGCTAGGAAGATCAAGAAGGAGATCTAAGAGGCTGGGGTGTTAGGTTGAGGAAGTTAGGCAGATCAAGAAGGAGATGTAAGAGGCTGGGGTGTTAAGGGGAACAAGTAGACATACACAGAAGGGGGATCAGGAGGTTGATGAAGTAGGCAGACCAAGAAGGGGATCAAGGGGGCTAGGGTGTTAGGTTGAGGATGTTAGGCAGATCAAGAAGGAGATGTAAGAGGCTGGGGTGTTAGGCGGAACAAGAAGGCAGACACAGAAGGGGGATCAGGAGGTTGATGAAGTAGGCAGACCAAGAAGGGGATCAAGGGGGCTAGGGTGTTAGGTTGAGGATGTTAGGCAGATCAAGGAGGAGATCTACGAGGCTGGGGTTTAGGCTGCACAAGTAGGCAGACCAAAAAGGAGATCTAATAGGCTAGGGTGATAGGCAGGGCAAGGGGGTGGTTAACAGATGCAGGCATAAAAGGTAAATAAAGGAGGCAGAGACAAATGATCAACCTACCAACGTTTACTTCGTAATCACATGTACTTAAGCCGGGTACACACAGTCACGTGTTCTCACAATGCCACTGAGTTTCGTGTAAACAACGAAGAGTCGACAGTTTCCATAAGTGGTAACGTTGAATAATCGTTTTCCCGAACGCTTGCTGGATCGCTTGCCACACAACCATCTGTCCTGACTATATGATAGGTTGAACATATACATTGATGTTCTGACCAACGAATCTGTACAATTCCAACCATAACACACAAGTTCATGTTGGCCCTTCAGCCAACAGCACCGCACGCAACATAGCCCCAACTTCAGCTGCCTCGGCGTCTCAGTGGGTTTTATGATCGCTTAATTTATAAGACTGCTAGAATGAAATAAACTGTTTCATGACACACGGGCTGGGAACATTTGTGTAAAGGCGAGTTCGTTATCTGAATACAGTTGACAATTGTGAGTGGTGAGGATTATATCACGGTGTGTCAGCTTGATGCGAGGGAAAGCCAAAAGTGATGCTGGTTTTAGACACTCTGCACTTGGTATGGTGTTGACAAACCTACGAAGATGATCATGAATCTAGTAAGTACAATGTATCAAGGGTACACGCCGGATACGCGCTTTTTTCTAATTTTCAAATTAGTTAAGAACTTGAGCAAGTCTAGTAGCTACGAAAATCAAACAATTTAACTGTATACTTCTTCTTCCATTAAAAGGTACATCAGTTAACACTGACTGGCTTATTCTTTCCAAATGTTCCACTGTTTTTATTATTTGCGATGCAGCCCATGGCAACGTGACGTCATATTACATCGCTCATTATGACATCACCTATTATTTATGACGCCAAAAACAATTTTATGGGACGTCATTCCAATAGTAAAGCAACAGAGCTGATGTCTAATCTTGAAGGACAATCAAGAATCAAGAAGGTCAAATAAAAGACAATTTGTAAATTGCGGCAATATTAGAATGTATCCTTCGCAACTCGAAAGTCACGTTCTTTTTTACTCGTGTGTTTGGTTGTGTGTTTGATGCTGTTGAAATTTAACATTGTCTCACCAATTTGACGTCGATCTGTAAATAATCGAGTCTCGATCAGACAGTTCAGTGATTGACATCGTGAGCATCGATCCACACAATTAAGATACCATGACATTCATTAACCGAGTGAGCGAGCCTGAGCACTCGACCCTTTAGTAACCTCTTATAACAGGCATTGGTTGCTGAAGACCAATTTTAACATGAACCTCGCGGATCTGTACTTGTCATGAAGTGCTAACTCAGAAACGCAAAACTCCTTGTTGTGTCCTATCATTGACGTCCCTGTGTTGGCCGTGTGTGAGCACCGTGTCGAACTTAAGATAACACGCACGGTTGATAGATGTGTCCATGAGGTGCAATGCTGATATGGTCTTTGTCAGGCGTATCCTTATCTCCCTGCCAACACAACGCCGGCCTACTTCTATGAGTGTGTGGAACAAGTAGACTGTTTAGGACATTGTATTTCAGATTACGAATCGCACGAACATGGTGTGGGGATGGGGCGGGGAGCGTTTGGTGAGGGGGTCACACATTTAGCGTAATTTGGTTTTAACTCAGCGTTGAACAACCATATCACTGGGGTTAGATTACGACAGAGAAGTAGTGAGGTCCTTAAAAGTCAAACAGATGCTTCGTTAAACCGCAGGAGGCGCATTCTGCAAAGGCGCCGTAATTCGAGTAGAGTTAGGAATGCAAGAAACCAATGGTAGAGGGTTCGAATCCCGGTTTGATTTTTTTTCTAGATTTGTGAGTTGCATCAAAATTCGCATCATTTAAGGTTTTTCTCTTACAAGCTGACATACCGTTTGATGCGGCGTTTAACCAACTTGCCCACTCACTCTTGTATATACAACAAGACTAGACACTTATTTGTTATTTATGTTGATCTGGTACAGACTGGATTAGATCGGGTGCGTGTTGTTAGGACTGAAGTTATCAGCAAAGGCAGAGAATGCTACCATGGGAGACTGCTTACGATATACAATAATCGATATTAATTATATTAACAAATAATCGATGTACAAATCCTGGGTGTAGGCTAGGTTAAATAAAAATAATTCTATGAGGGAACCTCGATTATTTCGTATTATAAGCTGGACGGTACATTGTATATGTTGACAGTATGTGTAGAAGGTGGACGGTACATCGTATATGTTGACAGTATGTGTAGAAGGTGGACGGTACATCGTATATGTTGACAGTATGTGTAGAAGGTGGACGGTACATCGCATATGTTGACAGTATGGGTAGAAGGTGGACGTTACATCGTACATGTTGACAGTATGGGTAGAAGGTGGACGGTACATCGTATATGTTGACAGTATGTGTAGAAAGTGGACGGTACATCGTATATGTTGACAGTATGGGTAGAAGGTGGACGTTACATCGTACATGTTGACAGTATGGGTAGAAGGTGGACGGTACATCGTATATGTTGACAGTATGTGTAGAAGGTGGACGGTACATCGTATATGTTGACAGTATGTGTAGAAGGTGGACGGTACATCGCATATGTTGACAGTATGTGTAGAAGGTGGACGGTACATCGTATATGTTGACAGTATGTGTAGAAGGTGGACGGTACATCGTATATGTTGACAGTATGGGTAGAAGGTGGACGTTACATCGTACATGTTGACAGTATGGGTAGAAGGTGGACGGTACATCGTATATTTTGACAGTATGTCTAGAGGGTGGAAGGTACATCGCATATGTTGACAGTATGGGTAGAATATGGACGGTACATCGTATATGTTGACAGTATGGGTAGAAGGTGGACGGTACATCGTATATGTTGACAGTATGGGTAGAATATGGACGGTACATCGTATATGTTGACAGTATGTGTAGAAGGTAGACGGTACATCGTACATGTTGACAGCATGGGTAGAAGATGGACGTTACATCGTGCATGTTGATAGTGTGTCTAGAAGGTGGACGGTACATCGTATATTTTGACAGTATGTCCAGAAGGTGGAAGGTACATCGCATATGTTGACAGTTTGGGTAGAAAGGGGACGGTACATCGTATATGTTGACAATATATGTAGAAGATCGACTGTATACTGTTTATCTTGACAGTATGTGTAGACGTTGACGGTACATCGTATATATGTTGATAGTGTGTTTAGAAGGTGGACGGTACATCGTTATATGTTGACAGTATGTGTAGAGGTGGACGGTACATCATATATGTTGACAGTATGTGTAGACGTTGACGGTACATCGTATATGTTAACAGTATATGTCGAAGGTGGACGGTACATCGTATATGTTGACAGTATGTGTAGAGGTGGACGGTACATCGTGTGTGTTGACAGTATGTGTGGAAGGTGGACGGTACATCGTATATGTTGACAGTATGTGTAGAAGGTTGACGGTACATCGTACATGTTGACAGTATGTGTAGAAGGTGGACATGGTTTATGTTGACAGTATGTGTACAAGTTTTACGGTACATCGTATATGTTGACATTATGTGTAGAAGGTTGACGGTACATCGTATATGTTGACAGTATGTGTAGAAGGTGGACATGGTTTATGTTGACTGGGTGTGTAGAAGGTGGACGGTACAGCGTACATGTTGACAGTATGTGTAGAAGGTGGACGGTACATCGTATATGTTGACAGTATGTGTAGAAGGTGGACATGGTTTATGTTGACTGGGTGTGTAGAAGGTGGACGGTACATCGTATATGTTCACAGTATGGGTAGAAGGTGGACGGTACATCGTACATGTTGACAGTATGTGTAGAAGGTGGACGGTACATCGTATATGTTGACAGTATGGGTAGAAGGTGGACGGTACATCGTATATGTTGACAGTATGTGTAGAAGGTGGACGGTACATCGTATATGTTGACAGTATGTGTAGAAGGTGGACGTTACATCGTATATGTTGACAGTATGGGTAGAAGGTGGACGGTACATCGCATATGTTGACAGTATGGGTAGAAGGTGGACGGTACATCGTATATGTTGACAGTATGTGTAGAAGGTGGACGGTACATCGTCTATGTTGACAGTATGTGTAGAAGGTGGAAGGTACATCGTACATGTTGACAGTATGGGTAGAAGGTGGACGGTACATCGTATATTTTGACAGTATGTCTAGAGGGTGGAAGGTACATCGCATATGTTGACAGTATGGGTAGAATATGGACGGTACATCGTATATGTTGACAGTATGTCTAGAAGGTAGACGGTACATCGTACATGTTGACAGCATGGGTAGAAGGTGGACGTTACATCGTGCATGTTGATTGTGTGTCTAGAAGGTGGACGGTACATCGTATATTTTGACAGTATGTCCAGAAGGTGGAAGGTACATCGCATATGTTGACAGTTTGGGTAGAAAGGGGACGGTACATCGTATATGTTGACAATATATGTAGAAGATCGACTGTATACTGTTTATCTTGACAGTATGTGTAGACGTTGACGGTACATCGTATATATGTTGATAGTGTGTTTAGAAGGTGGACGGTACATCGTTATATGTTGACAGTATGTGTAGAGGTGGACGGTACATCATATATGTTGACAGTATGTGTAGACGTTGACGGTACATCGTATATGTTGACAGTATATGTAGAAGGTGGACGGTACATCGTATATGTTGACAGTATGTGTAGACGTTGACGGTACATCGTATATGTTAACAGTATATGTCGAAGGTGGACGGTACATCGTATATGTTGACAGTATGTGTAGAGGTGGACGGTACATCGTGTGTGTTGACAGTATGTGTAGAAGGTTCACGGTACATCGTATATGTTGACAGTATGGGTAGAAGGTTGACGGTACATCGTACATGTTGACAGTATGTGTAGAAGGTGGACATGGTTTATGTTGACAGTATGTGTAGAAGTTTTACGGTACATCGTATATGTTGACATTATGTGTAGAAGGTTGGCGGTACATCGTATATGTTGACAGTATGTGTAGAAGGTGGACATGGTTTATGTTGACTGGGTGTGTAGAAGGTTGACGGTACATCGTATATGTTGACAGTATGTGTAGAAGGTGGACGGTACATCGTACATGTTGACAGTATGGTCAGAAGGTGGACGGTACATCGTATATGTTGACAGTATGTGTAAAAGGTGGACGGTACATCGCATATGTTGACAGTATGTATAGAAGGTGGACGGTACATCGTATATGTTGACAGTAT